TTGTCACCCTGAACTGGTAAATCGTTTCGCTGAACAATGTGTTCTGCAAGTAACGTTTTGTCAAACTAAACTGGTAAATCGTTTCGCTGAACAATGTGTTCTGCAAGTAACGTTTTGTCAACCTGAACTGGTAAATCGTTGCGCTGAACAATGTGTTCTGCAAGTAACGTTTTGTCAGACTGAACTGGTAAATCGTTTCGCTGAACAATGTGTTCTGCAAGTAACGTTTTGTCAACCTGAACTGGTAAATCGTTGCGCTGAACAATGTGTTCTGCAAGAAACATTTTGTCAGACTGAACTGGTAAATCGTTTCGCTGAACGAACGTATTTCAGATTTTGGTTACAGAGAACTAATATCCGTCATTCCCTTCAAAAAGTTCTGTAAAATCAAATATCGATTAACAGATGTTTATTAAATGTCAAACATACATAGAGATTTTCCTAACACTTATGTTTCTTTGAAAAAAATCATACATTCATGATAAAAAAATGATTTTGCAGATGTATCTAAACATGTATATTTTTTTAAACTTAACCTCACCTAACGTTTACTGTAAAACATAAGAAAAGATAATTCAAAGAAAGCAACTTTCTCGATTACAACATAATTAGAAAAGAGTATATCGTTTATTTAATATCATACTGCTTGTCATTCAAAATGTAACTGCAAACAAACCTTCTGAAAGTGAACCGCAATTGACGAACTTGTGACAACAACATTAACCAAGGCGTTTACAATAGTTGCTGAACATGACACGAGACAGTACGTTGGGCATTCTTGTGCGTGTGACAGCGGCTATCGTGATGCGCTAGACAGTCATCTAGAAGATTTTGGTATTCGTTCTGCACTTTTTGGACGTCTTAAAGAAAACATTGAGACATTACGTGCTCGGAATTCTGGCTTTCTGTATATTGGCACAAATATCTAATAACTGTGATTTTTTTTCATTGAAAATAACACACTGTTGTGGACTACGTTTTAATATTTTAATTTAGATGTTTGCTAGAGAGAATTTTGGCATCACGTAGCGATGATGTGTGACACCTAGGGATTTCCTGAGTGTGTAGATTTGACAAGACGTGATGAGTATGTGGCGTTTCGAAATTTCATAGAGACTTTGGTAGAAGTAGTGTAATAATATAAGAAAAACCCAGAGCTTTAGTTAGTTAGTCTGTTCAAATGTTGTCGATCAATTACTGGGTTAGCGAATGTGTTAGTTCGCCAGTTTTGAGTTTTTGCCGTAGATACGAGAGAAAATTTGATAAGTTAGTGATTTTAGTTATATTTGTGAGTTCAAATTGCCTAGACTTATACCTTCACATATACTGAACTGCTGGAGGAAATCCCCAGACCACCTTTTTTGTAACCCTTCCTCCTCCCCCAAAAATGTTAAGGTTTAGAATAGTCTCTTATTTCATACAATTTTAATATTCGAAGAAGCTGAAAATAAAATCACTTAAGTAAAAATAAAGTTCTACAACCTCACTGGTCGATAGGCCTAACTCACAAGTACAACTATACAGTTACTTGTTAAATTAAGTCTTGTATTTACAGCACAAAATCAAAACTGGCTAACCAACCTGTTAATCCAGTAACCGATCAACAAGACAACACCGCAACAAACAAACTGCCTAGCTCAATCTGTTTATTATTATTATTATTATCATTACTATGCGTTTTCCCAATTCCCTAAAAAAATTCGAGACGCCACGTGCTCATTAGGTCTCGTCTATCTAAATACTCAGAAAGTTTCTGGGTAGCACACGTAAATCTACGTAGTGCGAAATTCCTTTTAGCAAAGAATACAAAACTGAGACGTCTGAATTAAAATGTTAAAATATAGTTCACGAAAGTATTGTTAATTTTGATAACCTAGCATACTCTTAAGGTATATCTCATTACATTTAGTGTGATCGCTAACAGTTAAACATGACTTATTAAGATATTGTTGAAAAGTTTGCATTCATCTATTTAACTCAGTGACGTCACTTACGATTAATCAGATTATCAGGTAAAAATAGAAGTTGTTAAATAAATAAATTTTAGAATTCGTTGTATATTCAGCCTGGAATAATGAAAATTTGAAGCGTTCATGTTCTTTTATGATTCTATATTTTTATTATATTTTAACGTTGAACCACGATTTAATTTGCGCATTAAGTTTCTTATATTGATTTGCCACACAAATTTCCAATCAAAGACTTTTGTGTCATCTGCAGGTGAATGATTAAATCTTGCTTCCTTACGCATGCTCAAACTGCAATAGGCACATCAATTGGGCTTTTCCTTCATACCTAGAAGAAAAACAATGCTCGGATGTAATAGCAATAATACACGTTGATTTAATGGGTTTTAATGATTCGTTTCCGACAAAGAATGTGGACGCTACATGTTTTCACTTTTTATTTTGCTATTATCATGTTTCACCTACCAAGATATATTTTCGTCATGACAAAACTGGAAACAACCAAAGATTTCAAACGTGACAAAATGCTCACCATCTCTAACATAAACAATCCTTTAGTAGTAACGTCTATGACGTAAGCGAGACGATCGTCCAAGTTCTGTCCCTCTTGTCAAAATCTTTTTTTTTCTTATCCTTCTCGTAAATAATACCGGAAATCGACACTGGATATTGTGATTGCACAAAATCTACAGTTCTGTGGTTTTCCTTCAACATC